GCCCCCCCCCCCGCTTCTTGCTTACTTTGTTGTCTGGGTCACAGGGAACAGGGCAGCTGGAGTGGAAAGCCACCACTGTTGTCAGAGCGAGAGGAGGCTGGGAAAGATGATAAGGAGAGGTGGAAGCCAGCCCCGTGGCGGGAATGACTCCGAGCACAGGGCAGGCCCAAGGAGACTGGCTCTTAGCGCCCATGCCCCCGAGACAGGTGCAGGCCCCTACGTTTCAGCCTCCCCCGTATCGCGGAGGCTCTTCACTGGGTTGGGGAGGTAGCATTTAAGTACAGAAACCCTAACAATAACCACAAAAAGCCTACAGTACACAGAGTTCCTCCCATGAGCTGAGCACACGGTGACATTTTATTTGGCCTTTGCAACTACCCCGTGACGTAGGTGGGATTATCCCATTTTACAAATGAGGAACTGAGGCCCACCCTGAAACTAAATTGAATAGTTGCCCAAGCCACACCGCGGCATTTCAAATCCAGCCTTTGCCCAACTCCAAAGCCTGTGTGTCTTTTCTTTCTTTGTATCATCTGTTCTGACGGCTCCTACACACACACACACACACACACACACACACACACACACACTCACTCCCAGGTTCAAACGCCCTGCCTCTGTACCTTCGTGGATGGCAATGATGTGGGGGTGGTTGAGTGACGACATGATCTCAATCTCTCGCCGAATGTGCATCAGATCTTGCTCATCTTTGATTTTGTCTTTCCGGATCAACTTGATGGCCACCTGGGAACAGAGAATGTTGGAGAATGAAGAGAAAGGTCTGGCAGCCAACAGTGTCCTGGAGGACACTCTCCAAGTCCTGACTGTGGTCTGCCTGCTGCTGCGGCTGCTGCCAAAGCCACAGGATGCACCCAGGGATGCCACCCCGACCTCCACCGGGGAAGATGGCGGAGAGGTTGAAGAGCACCTTCTCTAGGTGTGGTCCATGCAGCAGGAAGGAGTAAGGACCAGTGATGAACAAGGAAGGTAACAACCATTCGGAAGGCTGATGCTTTGTGATTTACGTCCATAGCAAATTTACCCTACTACACCATGAGGACAAGGATTTGCTCACCACTGGATCCCAGATGCCAAGCACAGTGCCGGGCACACAGCAGACACTGCGCAACCATTTGTTGTGCTAGTAAATTAACCGGCCCTCCCCACAGCCCTGGGAGGTAGGCACAGAAAAAATCTTCATCCCCATTTACAGGCAAGGAGACTGGTACCCAGAGGGGTCAAGTGACCTGCTCCAAGTCATACTGTCACTAACTGGCACCGACTGGGATGAACCTGGAAAGCATTATATTAAGTGAAGTGAGCCAGACGCACAAGGCCAAATGCTGTATGAGCCTATCTGTATGAAGTGACCAGAATCAGAAAATGCATAGGCCAGGAAGTAGAACAGAAGTGACCAGGGGAAGAGACTGGTGGTGGGATGAGCAGTGACGGTTTAGTGGGTACAGAGGGTTTCTGTCCGGAGTGATAAAACGATGTGAGGAATGCATGGTGGTGATGGTTGCACAATATTGTAACTGTACTGCCTGCCACTGAATTGGACACTGAAATGCTTAAAATGGTAAATTTTATGTTATCTATATTTTACCACAAAAATATTTATGGAAACAAAAAACCCCACACAGGTCTCTTCGGTCCAGGGAAGGAATGTCCCTCTCCCAGCAACCGCGTCCTCCGGGCTTTGCTATCTTGTCTGTAAAGGTGAACATACCATAAAAGGACGAATGCTCCAGATGGTTTTCGTGGCAGGTCAGCAAGGGTGGAGGGAGGCGAGGGAGAATGAAGGAAGAGCTGCCAGATGCCCTTTCGGCAGAGCTCTGGGGCCTGAGGGGTCTCTGTCTCCATCCCACGCAGGGCCAAGGTGACAGAAAGGGGAGAAACACAGCTGTGCAGTGTGTGTGTGTGTGTGCAGAAGACACAGCCTGGGGAGCCAGGAGACCGGGGTCGTCCTCCAGGCTCTGTCCCTGTCCCCATGGGCAGTCCCACCCCTTCTCCAAGCCTCCGTTTTCTTTTCAGTGAAACAAACAGGCTGAACGGACCTGTGCGGTGCTTTCCCGCTTTGACTGTGAGATGAGCCACGCAAATGTCACCAAATGCCACGGCCTGAGAGGCTTTCCTCGCTGGCATCGGGTGCTGGGCAGGGGCGGGGTGTCACAGGGCTGGCCACTTCCTGTCAAGGCTGGTGCAGGGACATACAAATGGTAAACACCAGACTTCCCCTTCACGGGACACAGCAAGTTATGAGAAACCCGAAGGCACAGACTGAGGTAAACAGCTCCTCGTTCAGTTTCCCAGGAGGGTTTGGCCTCCCCTCGAGGTTCGAAAGGAGACAGAAAAGGAAACCACTCCTGGAAGGGAGGGGCCTCTAATCCCCCCTTTCACAGGCTCCGGAGGCAGACAATGGCTTCCTGCTCACAGGGACAGCGGACAAGAATGCGGAACAGCCCAGCGTAATCCCGTAAGAGGAGCTGCGGACAGTGCCCAGGGCCGTCACCCCGGCAACGGGCCATCGGCGCGCCCTCCTCCCCGGGAGCTGCCTCCGTGAAAGAGCGAGGCCCAGCTCTCTGCGTCCCTGAGCAGGACAGGCGGACAATGGCAGCGGGAGGGACTGTCACCATGGAGCCTCCCGCCAAGATGCTCTGGAGGCCCAGGCTGCGGCTGCAGGTGCTCGCTGCACGCCCCCACCCCTTCTGCTCCAAACCACCCCCGCGAGCTGTGCTGCAAAATCCCTGGTTTAGTATTGGACAGGGGGTGGGGATGGGGACAAAGGGGCTGGAATCCTCCATCAGCTCTGAGGTTTCAGCCTGGAGCGCGGCTCCTGCACACCTCTCTCCCCAGACCCCTCTCCTCTCCCAGAAGACACGATTTTACGGACTAATTCTTTTCTCTCTAAATGTCTGCATTTTAATAACCAGACAATGGATAAAGTACTATGTACTCTTCAGAGAAAGGGCCAGAAAAACCTATTAACAGATAGTAAAACATCATACATGAATCCCATACCTTGATAATGAGACAGAACTATTTGAGAGCTTAAGACGCACACATATGCAAAGGCTAAGCACATCTTGGATGTATAGCTGTGTACACACAGACAAATACAACAATGAGAGAAACGACCCTAGGCTTAGGAGGCAGAGCTCTCAAAAAGACATGCACTCTGGTGGATAGATAGAGGGTACAAGTCAAACCTTGAGATCCATTTCTCTCAAATTTGGAAGGCTATGATTCTACATCAGAATTGTTAACCTTGCCGAAACCGGTTTGGCTCAGTGGATAGAGCGTCGGCCTGCGGACTGAAAGGTCCCAGGGTCGATTCCGGTCAAGGGCATGTGCCTGGGTTGTGGGCACATCTCCAGTATGGAGTGTGCAGGAGGCAGCTGATCGATGTTTCTCTCTCATCGATGTTTCTAACTCTCTATCTCTCTCCCTTCCTCTCTATAGAAAATCAATAAAATATATTTTAAAAAAAAGAGTTGTTAACCTCCATGGACAGTCCCATCCTCCTGTAAGCTTATGCTCTGGCCTCAGGGGGGAGGCCAAGGACCCCAATCATCTGCATTAGGTTTTAGGAGAGCACAGTGTGGCTGGCACTTCCCAGGAAAGAAACAAGGAATGTCAGCAGGCCTCCACCAGTCCCTCAGCAGGTGACAGACCAGAAGAGCAAGGTGCCAGTGCCCTGGTGGGGCTGGGCCGCTGTTCCTCAACCTATCCCATGAGAAGGGCCCTTAGCTACCTGGTGGCTAGCCTCGCAAAGTAAATTAGATGTAGCCAAAGCTCAGGCCTAGACACAGCTCCGCCATCGAAAGTACTCAACAATTGTTTACTTGTGAACACGAATCGCAATCTAGATATATTGGTGACGTCATCGGGCTGATCCCTGACTGATGGGGCCAGTGCCAGATAAGATTTTTTGCCTTTCTTCCTGGGCATGGGTGGAGAGGCAATCTCTGATACAAGCGTTAATTCGGAGGGACCTTTGTTCTCCATCTGCAAGGTAGTTCAACAACCATTCTCTAGAACAGTGGTTCTCAACCTTCCTAATGCCGCGACCCTTTCATACAGTTCCTCATGTTGTGGTGACCTCCAATTTCATTGTTACAAATTGAACATAATTAAAGCATAGTGATGAATCACAAAAACAACATGTAATTATATATGTGTTTTCCAATGGTCTTAGGTGACCCCTGTGAAAGGGTCGTTCGACCCCCAAAGGGGTCGCGACCCACAGGTTGAGAACCGCTGACTAGAATAAAAACATACTGACTGGAGCTGAATGGATCACCCAGAGGTAGAGAGATCACAGGCCTGGAGACAACCCCGGTTCATCCCAGTAATATTACTGATAGGGACCCCTTCGCCAAAGTACCCAGGTTTAGATAATACAGCATGCGGCCACTCTACTCAGAGGGAACAGGGAACCCAGACACAACAATTATATTAATGGACATGAGAACACTAGGTCTGTGGAGTGGGTGTCAAGAGTGGCAATCTTTCGTTGCCACTGCTGAACTCTGCAACTCAAGACGAGTCACTTAAATAATCTGGTCAACTGGTCTGGCTGGTTTGATTGTCCTCGTCTGGAAAATGAAAGGTAATTTATTCTCCAAACACTTGCTGAACACCTACTATGTGCCTGGTGCTATGTTAGGAGTTGGGGATTTAGACAAAAAGTGGACAGTCCCTCTACCAAGATCTTCAGTCCAGCGGTAGGACTGGCAATGCAAATCAACTCCAGAGTGTGATGAGTGTGAAAATGGAGGCCCCTGCCTGCCAGGGGCTCCAGGAGCGCTGGAGAGAGCTTCCTCTGCCCAGAGGAGCAGGGAGAAAAGGGTTTCAGGTCTTGATAGACGAGTGGGGTTTGCCCAGCCAAGGAGGGTAGGCTGGGGAGGGGCAACAGGGGCATCCCAGGCAGAGAGAAATGTCTGAGCAAAGGCCAGAAAGAAAGGGGCCATTCACAAATTTGCACACCAGGATCTCTAAGCTCCCCTCCAAACGCCAGCATTGTCTGCTGAGTGTCTTCAGAAATGGGTCAGCCGCTACTATGCCAGGAAGGTGCGGGCCCAGGATGGTTATAAAGAGCTTGTTCCGAGGCCCTATGCTATGTCTCTGTTAACCTGCCAGAGCCCAGCTCCTACTGATACCAGCCCAGGGATAATCTCACTCCAGTGGCCCTGCAGGGCTAATTCCCTACCCCACATTGCAAATGGCAAACACTGCAGAAGAGGTGCACCGACTCTTCGAAGGTTTCCTGATCTACATCAAGGCAGAGTCAGGATCCAAGAGGGAGAGGTGTTCCCTGGAGAAGCTGCCATCTCAAAAGACAAAAGATCCTTGCAGGTGCCCTGCCCTGCCTCCAGCTCCCTACCTCCCGCCCCTGGAGCAGGGAATGCCCCACACCCTGCCCTGGGCCAAGCTGTACACTACCACCAGCCACCCCCATCCCACTTATACAAACACTGGGGAGATGGGTGCTGGGGCTCAATTGGTTAAACACTGCCCCTACCCACCCCCCAACTCAGATCAGGAATGATCTGGACTGAGGAGAGGATGGCAGAAAGGTCTTAGAAAAACAAGACCTAAAGGTGCTGGTCCCAGGTCCCAGGAAAGAGGGTGCAAACTGGGCATCTCAAGGTCCTTGGCTCCTCTCTGACCTTTCGTGAAGCAGCTGCCATCTGGGAGGTGGGGCAAGGAGGTGGAGGATGACCCACTTAGATAATGGAGGAGAGGCTGAGCTGGGCTGGCCTGGGCTGGGCAGAGTGGGGATGAGCCTAGAGTGTGGGTGCTCACCACCCCACCAAGCCTGCCAGAGAACCAGCCAGGGAGAGGAATGGGCTCCAGGAATGAGGGGAGTCTGAGCTGCTTCCCCTAAACCACATGCTGTGCCCACCCCTCCTTGCCACCCTCCTGCCCACTCTGCCAGGTTGCTGGGCAAGGCACTTCCTTGCCCAGCTCTCTTGTGTGGTTTGGCCAGAGCCCAAGGACAAGAGTCGCCTGCAGCCGGAGCCTCCTCCCTGCTGCTGAGCAGGCAGGTGCAGGAGGCACTGGGAAGGGCAGCTGGCCAGGTGGGAGCCCTTCTCTGGAGTAGGGGCTGAAGGAGAGACTAGGACTTTGAACAAAGCAGAGAGCGAAGTGGTTAGGCTTAAAGAAGCTGAGCACAGCCCAGTCTCTTGCTCAGGGCAGACAGGCCCAGGATGGATGCCTCCCGGAGAGGGGAGGGTCTAGGCCAGCCGTGGGCAAACTACGGCCCGCGGGCCGGATCCGGCCCGTTTGAAATGAATAAAACTTAAAAAAAAAAAAAAAGACCGTACCCTTTTATGTAATGATGTTTACTTTGAATTTATATTAGTTCAACCAAACACTCCATCCATGCTTTTGTTCCGGCCCTCCGGTTCAGTTAAAGAACCCATTGTGGCCCTCGAGTCAAAAAGTTTGCCCACCCCTGGTCTAGTCAAAACAGCCTCGCTGGGATGACACTGTATCAGCTACTGTGCTCAGCACTTGACAATATATTATCTTATTTAAGCCTGTGAGAAGACCATGCAGTAGGAGTTACTATCACCGCACTTTACAGAGGAGGAAACTGAGGTACAGAGAGGTCACAGAACTGGTGAGCAATAGAGGCAGGATTTTGAACCCTTGCAGTCTGACTCTGAGTTAAGCAGCCTTCCTGACAAGGTAAAAACCAGGAATGTAGTGTAGTTCACCCACAACCAGGATCCTTCCTAGGCAGAGTGTGTGTGTGTGGGAGTCGGTTCTCAGTGATCCTCCAACTGCCTGAAGCTCTGAGAAGGTGACTGGAGACGACTGTTGGAATGACAAAACACGCTGAGACAGGCCGGGCCCTACTGAAGGCCGACTCTCAGACCAAGGCTCAGTAGTGGTGACCCAGGACTTGGGGTGGTCAGATCAGGGGCCTATGTTGCAGGCAGGCCACTAACCAGCCACAGAACAAGTCTTTTCTCCTCTCTGGGCCTCAGTTTCCCCATCTGTCAGTGAAGGAATAGGACCATCTCAGTCATATTCAAATCCCAACAAGCCATTTAATATGTCAGACGGAAGCACCTCTGCCCCACCCAGATCATTAGCCATTTGGACCCCATCATGTTCCTCATGGAAGCCCTTGGAGGTTAAGACTTCCGTGCAGATCATCCCAAAGGCTCTGGTCAACCCTACCAGCGGGTGTTTTTCTCTTTAGGGGTAGGGGGAGTGAGGGGGCTGGGAGGGTCACAGGAGGAAATGTCATCGGGACACCAGGAATGTACTTGGAGACTAGAAGATCCAGAGCAAATATTTGTTTTTCCTTTGATGCCCTCCTGGAGTAGCCATTAGTCCTGCCCACCTGCCCCTCCCTCTGGACAGTCCCATCCAGTCCCTGACAAGCTCATCTAGGCAGGCTGGGGATGGGAAAAGGTCTGGAAAAGTGGCGAGAAAAGTGGGATGCAAGTCACCCAGCAGGTCTTCCTCCGAATTTAGCCGCTACCAATACTCTCAGTTCATTTTGAGGGGG